ATACAAATTAGAGCATCAGTGAATTTCAAACTTGAGTATCAGTGTAATACAAACTAGCATATCCATGTAATACAAACTAGAGTATCATTGACATACAAACTAGAGTACCAGTGTAATACAAACTAGCATATCAGTGTAATTTAAACTGGAGTATCTGTGTAATACAAACTAGCATATCAGTGTAATACAAACTAGAGTATCAGTGTAATACAAACTGGAGTATCAGTGTAATATAAACTAGCATACCATTGTAATACAAACTGGAGTATCAGTGATACACTAGAATATTAGTGTAATACAAACTGGAGTATCAGTGTAATACAAACTAGAGCATCAGTGTAATACAAACTAGAGTATCATTGACATACAAACTAGAGTAACAGTGTAATACAAACTGGAGTATCAGTGATACACTAGAATATTAGTGTAATACAAACTGGAGGATCAGTGTTACACACACTAGAATATCATTGTAATACAAATTACAGTAATCAGTGTAATATAATCAAGAATATCAGTGTAATATGAACTTAAGTATCAGCATAATACAAAGAGAGTAACAGTATAATACAAACTAGAATATCAGTGTAATACAAACTGGAGTATCAGTGTTACACTAGAATATTAGTGTTATACACACTTAAGTATCATTGTAGCAGTGAAATCAACACTATCTGTCAGGGTTAACATCACATCCTCTTGTGTGTTATATAACAATTTGTCCAATCAGATAACTGTAACAGAATATATTGCCTTGGAGACGACTTCCTTGTATTGTGTTCTCCACTGTTGTCCACACACACTGTAATTAGGGTGCTTGTAAGGTTACCAGGTTACTAATTGTAGCCTTCCACACAGGGGAGGCCAATTTGAATATTTTAATTAAACAAAACGACTGCTTACCTGGTCGAGCAGGTAAGATAATTTGAAATATTTGCAATATTTATCACCAATAGATATTATAAAACATCTGTCTGCTGCCAGCAGCAAAGTCTACGGCAATAACATCTTCATCAGCAGTAATTATAGCATACACAAGCACTAATTCCTGCTGTCCCATTACGTTTACAGTAACCTTTGTCTATTGTTACACTTTATTGAATTAGATTTTATAGAAAAAATATCCATTCACTGCAGCTCGTTACTTTACCTTAAGAAAATTATCCCCAATTTTTTAATCGTCAATATAAATCCAGCTCATTAAAAACAAATTGAGAAATGTATTAAAAAGTTGAATGTTTGAAACCTAATACCGGTTTTATTGCCTAGTTTGGCTACCTTGCAGGTGGTCCCTCGTCCACAACATAACAGTAATTGACACATTAAAATCTTAAAGCCATTCTTTCAAAATTTTTTTGCAACTAAAATTGATTCCTGAAATTGCCATCAATAATGCATACCAATTTCAACCCAAGTTGCCATTATCAAAAATTGATGTCTTTGTGTTTGGCAATGAAGCACATTAAAAAAAGCATTGATTTCTGTGGTTGTTGGCTCCTCTCACTGGACACAAAGACCATTCTACATTTGCTGCAAATTATCTCAGGAGGCATTTTAAAAATTAAATTGCTGTAACCGGCCAGAGGTTTAGATGATTAGGAAGCCTTGTAGCTCGACAGCTGGCAAAATAAATGGCGGCCGCTGAGAAACAAAGATGACCCGAAAGCACCAACTTAAATTAGATCAAACCGATGGCTTTATTTAAATTTCACAATCAATTCAAAGGAAGTGACGATGTCAAATTCTTTACAGAAACAATGACTCATTCCAGCTATGACACACGTATCAAAATTACAAAAAAGGGAAATGAAATTTCAAATAAAACCACTAATTCGCCATAATTAGAATCTAAATTGAAGTTTTGCATTCTCTCAAAATTCTAATGCAGGCTCTCAGGATGTCTTGAAATATGGCAATTACAACTAGAATTAATTTAATCTCTGTGAAGAATTTGTGTGTGTGTAATCTGTCATATTTCATGATTCACAGGGAATCTTGTTACAAGTAACACAATCGTGATTTAAGTGCTGACTTGTAAGTCTTTTTTCCTCGTCGTTCCTCTTTTAGAGCATTACATAACCAGAGCACATGTCCTTGCTCTCTCGTGGCTGATATGCTGCTTGCAGGAGTGAAAAGCCATGTTCAAACCCCACAGGACCAAAAAATCAGCAGTTTCGAAATGCTTAAATGATGGTGGTCCTTCTCGCTGTCATGAAACTAAGTCAAATCAATTTCAAATTTAAGTGCCAGGTGTCAATTAGACGAGGCAGACAAAACCTTGTTTGGCATAAAATTTCATACACAATTTCCCCACACTTCACTCAATTTTAAACATAATCCATTTTGACAGTAGCTGCCAATTTTTCACATAGTCTGCAAGTTGAGATGGGAGTATGACGGGCTTGATGCAACTAGTACTGCAATCCAGCATCGGTAGCCCTGCACCCGATGAAGGAGCTGATTCAACCTGGTGCTGATGGCTCCTGTCGGGTTGTCTGTCAATTCCTAAAGAGTTAAAACTTTAAGGGAAGAGAATTTATTGAGTTTTATTGCCTGGTCCCATACGGGATGATGGTGCTGTAGCTCTACTTGTCACCGAGCTACGTAAGTGGGTCTGACACCCGCCTCAAGGCTCTACTCTAACGTTCCATTTACTCCATTCTATTTCCAATTTCAAGTAAGAAACTTAATCTAACAAATTTTCGATCACATTTTTTTATTCCATTGAAAAAGTGAAGAAGAAAAAAAGAACTGGTGAGTGATTGAAATTTATCACTGCTAGTTTAGGTGGGGAGGGAAAACAATTGTTTGATGTTCATTGACAAAGCATGTAAGAGGTGAGTGACACAGCCACCATCAGCCTGTCTAGTCAGGCGCGCGGCACTGCACTGACAGCCTCGTGGAGTGCACTTTAAATTGTTAGCAAGCTAAATTCACGTAATCAAAGAGAGCGCTTCAACATTGGTTTTAAGGCATCATTCAAAGGTATTGGAAGAGAGCAGGTTTTAAAGCGACTGAAATTTCAGTTGTAATCTTTACAGAACTGGAGTGCACGCTAGCTCTTTAGGTCCGACTTGCAATGTGATGTTTGGTGATCTAAGTTAGAATTATTTTGTAATAATATTCTCTGAGGACTGTCGGATTGCATGTATTCGAAGAGAGCATTTCAGGCAAGATACACACGGTACAAGGTATATTGTCAGGCGTACCATGAGTCACAGAAGCAAATGACAATCACCGGTATAAACTAGTAAATTCCAGACAAAAAACAGGATTTGAGCACTTTAATGTGCGGGAGCATTAAGAGTGGGCTATAATTTTCAAACCCCATCTCTCTCTGGCAGGCGAATGGCAGGAAAGATCTTCCCTCAATTTTGTACCTTATTACATAAGTACCAAGGAATTGAAATGGAGAATAGAAACAACTTAGACGGCTGGCCAAATCGGACTACTCGACCATTGCCTCGCTCCAGACATGCTCAAACACTTGGTGTGTTAATATCCCTGAAAAAAGGGAAATGGGCAAAATTAATGAAATTTGTGGATATTTTCTGGAATAAAGCCCCATTACCCATGGAGTAATTGAGGTGGTGTTTGAATCGTTGAAATCCCTACTTCTTGGTATAATTTCATTTGTCTGACTAAGGAAAAAAATGTCTAGCATCAAACACTCAATAACACATTGGAACAATGTCAAATGTTACAGGTTCGCAAAACACAACTTGCCAAATCTTAGACCAAAAACTATTTTTCATTACTAAAGAATACAAATTTGAAACTAAATCTCCTAACAAAAAAAAGTAAGATATAAAACTTATAACAAAGACATATTTCTGAAAAAATTTGGGTGTACATGTTGTTTTAGACAATTTTCATCAATTTGATAAACTCTTGTTTAACGTTGTCCTTTTTCAGTTCATTACATTAACGATATTCCAAACTATGGCAGCACAATAAGATAAGCGTATATCATTCTCACAAAGGATAGTGCTATCAGGAAAACTTAAAACATCTAAACCTTGGCTCACTCTGCAGTAACCCTTTTTCCAGACACGAATATGCATTGAAATGCACATCACATGTTTTCACTATATTTTATATGACATCTAGGTAGAAGGGTAAAATAACCTGAGAGCTGTTATATAGCTAAGCTAATTTGCACACTTTCTGTAGGCTTTAATGTGTTACAATATCAAACTGGAGGGTTGACAATTTCTTGGGTGGGAAGGTTTTGTTTTACTATACTGTATACAATTTCTGTTGTCTGTTTATGACAGCTTTCTGCAACATCAAAAAATAATGGACAACAAATTCTTTCTTTTTTGAAAAAATTAAAATTAAAATGGCATATTATATATGATTTGGAGATCACAATTAAGATCAAGGATTGTAATAAGAGTTCTTTGTTAATATCATTTTTTGGCAGATGTTGGGGTGCGGTTGCGTTCTTTTTCGAGTAAAATCTTGATGAAATATTCCAATGGTTACACCATCCAGTGACCTTGAACTCTGTACTTTAATTTTTTGAGTTTTGACCTCACGACTAACGGGAGATGTGAGAGAGAGTATGAGGTGCACTTGACCAATTTTTGCCATGGATTTATAAGATTGGTGTTGTAGGTATTGAATGAGGTTGAATCCTGTGTAAGGGGTCACTTACACTGTATAGTACATACATTTACCCCGTTAACACCATACATCACACGCTAATAAGTCTTTATCAGCTGCTCGCTCAACCAATCCTCTGTTTTACTCTAATTGGAGTGATCTCCCCTGAAAATTGTAATATCTCAACTGTGATTTCATTTGGTTTCTGACACAAATATTTTTTGGCATCCTTCAAACAGGTCTATTTGTGTACCTTTTGGTATGTCTAGAAACATTTCTACTGTTGTTTTTGTTATACCCAGCCAAAGGTATATAAAATCTAGGCCTATGAAAACACCTTTGATGTCTGAAATGTACTTTTAGTTGAAATTCTAAGTTTGTTTCTGCCCTACCTTTTTCTTTGTTTCTTTCTTCTGTTTCTTTGTCTTTCTTTTGTCATGAGGCTTCCTCCTCTTGGCCCCCTCCCCCGGGATGGTGTCTGTCAGGGGATCCCCCTGGGTGGAGTCGGCTAACATCTTAGCTGCACTCATTTTTATTTACCTGTGGATGTATAAAGTTTTGTTATTTTAAGGAAATTAACTAATTCTTTACACAAGTACGATAGTCAGTGTATCTGTGTTTCAAATAGGTAACATTTGATTTAAAGATCTTAAGGATTCAAAGGATACAGAAAAATACATTATCATCGTAAATACTTATATTCCATACAAAACAAGACATCTATAAGCCTCCTGGTCCCCTTGTGAAATAAAGATACATTAAAAAACCTTTTCTCCCAAAATCAAACTCAATCCTTCTTCCCTTGCCTATTAGGAGAGTGGTGGGAAGGGGGGTAATCGCTGACAAAGGGGAAATGGCTCTATAATGGCCACATTATAATTACACTATATATAAGCTGTAGAAGAAATAACAGTTAAGTGAACACAACACCCACACAAAAAACTGTCCAACAATAAACTGAAACTAATTACTAAACTTCAATGAAATTAGACACTGATCGGAACAGGGAAATAATTTCATCCCCTACATTACCATGTAAATGCTAGACGCGACACATTCAATACCGCTTCCATGGCAACCTACAACGTTTTATCAAATCTTTGAAAAAGAAAATGGTAGCTATAAAAATGTCAAGATAGAGGTATGGTAATGTAGGGTTTATTTCTGGACATGTATATGTAAAATAAAGGTCCCATTACAATCCTTTTTCGCAATTTAAACAAAGAGTTTTATTGTTTCAGAAAATAGACTGATGTTAAATAAAAGTTTTAATTTCTTTTAGCACTAAAAGACATATTATTTGTTTGTACAGCTGTTTATCATGGTAACAGTTTATTCTTTCAACTGATTTTTTATTTTCTAATATTATATTTGTGTTTTATTAGATGAAACAAAATACAATACCATGATACTGATGTAGAGAGTGATAAATCTTGTGATACCATGCTAGGGCCAGCCGTCAGACTCACTTAGTGGGCATCTCCGAGACCAGGTGTCAAGGCCAGTAGCCTGGTCCTCTAACTTTTATATGCCTTTATATCTACTTATTCCTGGTTTTTTATCCACCCCTTATATGCTTTATGTCCATTCTGTCTGTGACCTAACATCATATGTACTCCTCCTCCTCCTTACCAGCCCCTATACCACCTAGCATTATCAGTCCCTTATATCTAGTGTACCCTTTCCCCAGCCTATAACCAGCCCCTTATACCTAATGTAGCCACCTAGCATAACCAGCCTCTTCTAACCCTAGGCCTACTAGCCCCTTATGACTAATGTAGCCACCTAGCCTTACTGGCATTTTTTAACCCTACTAGCCCTAATTATATATAATGTACTGGCCCTTCCTAGCATAACTGGCCCCTTCTAACCCTACCAGACTTCTATAACTAATGTAGCTCCATAGCTTAACTGGCCCTTTCCTAGTTTTACAAGTGTCCCTCTAACCATACTAGCCCCTTATAAATACTGTGGCCTACCTAGCCTTACGTGCCCTTTCCTATCCTAACATGCCCCTTCTTACCCTTCTAGCCCCTCATAGCTAATGTACTTGCTTTTCCTAGTCATACCATCCCCTTCTTAACCTACTAGCTCCTTAGTTAATGTAGCCTTATAGCTTTACTGGCCCTCCCCAAACTCAATTACCAGCCCCTTATAATCAATATAGCCTCAATTGCCTTATTTGCCCCTCCTAGTTTTTCCAGCCCCTTCTAACCCTACTAGTCCTTTATAATCAATGTAGCCTCATAGCCTTACCGGCCCCTCCTAATTTCACCAGCCCCTTCTCACCCTACCAGCTCTTTATTATTAATGTAGCCTCTTACCTGACCCTTCTAATTACCAGCCCCGTTATATCTAATGTAGCCCCCTTGCCTTAACAGCCCCTATAACTCCTAGCTTACAGTCCCTATAACTCCTAGCTTACAGCCCCTCATCTCCATAAAATTATTTGTGTATTTGTCCAAATTTTATTAAGTTTTCAAAGCAATTCAGTATAATTTAATAGTACATTTCTATTTGTGAAGATGTATTTATTTAAATAAGTCAGTGCTACTTATGTCTTTCTAAATTAGTTCTTTCAAATTTATTTCCTGTTGATTGTCTTTTTTTAACATAGCTGGACTATACAGTCAAGTGGCATGCTATATAGTGCGACTAATTACCAATGCTATTATTGATATGCATCCTGACATCTGAACAGGGCTAGCTATTTCAACTAGCTTTGATCATTGGTGCTTGACCTTTCCACGCATTTCAATAAATGTAAGTGCCATATCATGACCTTAAAGAACTCCATGTCCTTAAAAAATTAGACGGCAAAATGGTACAATTGACTATTTGCATGGATGTTCATTTAAAATTTAAGTCGTAGTTCAAAAGGCCCTTGAGATAGGTGTTGATCTGGTTTAATTGCAGTGGTTGTTTTGTTGAAGATGGTTATAGATGTTGCATAGCTAGGCTATCCAATTCATTTCCCTACAGTCTTTCATGAGATCATTAATACCCAACCAATGTTAAAGTGGATAGTCCCAGTGCTCTGCCTTAATGCATCTCCAAAGAAGAAGAGTTCCAATGTTGAATTTTTCCAACAATTTTTGTTATGTTAGTACTTTGCTGCAGAATCACTAAAAATCAATTTCAAAATGTTTAACTTCCCTAAAAAGGCCATCAACCTATATAGGTAATAAAGTTAATCCAAACTGATGATATTTACTTGTACATGTAGTGTGTGTTCGTTTCCTATGTCAATATCAGGGTTGAATGGATTTCAGACACTTCTGACTTAAATAAAACAAGGGAAGATATAGCAAATTAACAGTTACACACCCTAAATGTCTGATAACTCAATCTTTCTTGGGACCAGAGTTTTATTGTTGATAAAACTAAATGGTATCACAGACCTCATCACATTATAAAAATGGCAGTGGATACTGTACTCGCCTTCCACCAATACAAATGGTTCGATTCCCCAATCAAACGCGAATAGATATGGGGTCACATGCCCGACCATTAGGGTTTTCTCTGATTATTCCGGTTTACTTCCACATTAAGACCCTCTGCTTGCTACCATTCGAGTCAAACAGTGATTAATATCAGTTGATAGAAAATAATTCGAAATTGTTGTAAATAAATAAAATATGATTTAAAACACGATAAAAGTTTTTGTGTTTAACTATGTAATTCAGAAAAAGTTTAAGTCTTTGTAGTTGAAGAATTTAATAAAACATTATATAATCTGAGAAGATAATCAATCTCAGCTTCCAATCAAGATAGTCTAGTGGCCAATGTGAATGGACAGAAATTCTGATAGACAAAATACACTCCGACATACAATCTGATGTTCCCAAGTTACCTTAATTCAATTCAACTGACAGGCCATATGAGCTGTCATGATACCAAAACAGTCATAATCAGAAATGGATATCTGTGTGACCTTCAAATGACAAATTGTTAGTTTTTTTTCTTTTTAAGTATTTGATTTTTCAGATACTGGACGGTAAATAAAATTAAAGTGTATAACATTGTCATGAAACATGCCGAAGTTGAGATCACTAGTAGCTTGGTTTGGCTATGATTCTTGGTCAGGGTGAGGAACGTTTCAACAGACTATTTCTACTGTCACCACCAGCTGCCCCTACGTAAGTGTGGAATTGCTCCAATCTCTGTTTTTCCACCTTTATTTTTACATGTCACCTTACAATTAGGTTAACTTTCCTGTTAAGGTCAAATCTCGTTTGATAATTAAGGTTCCTTGACTTTTGAAATTATTAAGAAAATGTTAATGTCATATATAGCAAATTATGACTGACACGTGCAGGTTTATCAAGTAATTAGGTAACTTAAACTACTTTTCTACACAAAGTTAAAAATAAACACATTAAAAAAAAAGACTTTTAGCTACCAGAGATTATAAGGTACACACTAAATCAAATTTTTTTAAATTTTAAAACCAATTTTCAAAATATGATAACTTGAGTATGCCTGATATTTTTAAATTTTAAAGCCAATTTTCAAGATAAATTACTTACCATAACTTGAGTAGGCATATTAATTACTACTAACATCCATCATTGTAATCCCAATACAAAAAAAATCAATTCCCATCACTTTCCTTGATGGAGCTCACTTGCATCAATTAAGAAGACAAAAAGCTACATAATTGTGTATTTCTCAATGGTGACCTATGTCACACAGGGCTACAAGCACAGGTTTACAATACATCAAACGTATCATTAAGGTAAAACTTGTATACATAATACCTGTGGTTTATGATAAAGTCATCATCTTAAGGATATATGATGCCTTCTACATAATACCTGTGGTTTATGATAAAGGCATCATCTTAAGGATATATGATACCTTCTACATAATACCTGGGGTTTATGATAAAGTCATCATCTTAAGGATATATGATGCCTTCTACATAATACCTGTGGTTTATGATAAAGGCATCATCTTAAGGATATATGATACCTTCTACATAATACCTGGGGTTTATGATAAAGTCATCATCTTAAGAATATATGATACCTTCTACATATTACCTGTGGTTTATGATAAAGTCATCATCTTAAAGAAATATGATACCTTCTACATAATACCTGTGGTTTATGATAAAATCGACATCTTAAGGATATATGATACCTTCTACATAATACCTGTGGTTTATGTAAGAGTTATCTCTCTTATATATGATACCTGTGGTTTATGTGATAGTTATCTCTCTTAAGGGTGTATGTTAGCTTAAACATTATAATGTCTGGGATTTGCAAAAGAGTTATATCCCTAAAGGATATATGCTACCTTATTCATAAGGCTATGAGATTTAAGTTAGAGTTATTTCCCTTAAGGATGTATGCTACATTATATACATAAAGCCATGAGATTTTCTAAATGATACATACCAGTAAAACTTGATATTTATGTTAGTTATATCCCTCAGGGATTTATAATACCTCATCCTTATCTGCCTTAATTATATATGCCACCTCATTATGTTAGTAATCTTCCTTAAGGATACATACTACTTTAGACATAAT